ATTACTCGTGCATGACGTCAGTATTTTTTTTATAAAAATAGACAACGTTTACGAGAATCTTCGTCTAGATTAGGTGTAAGCAAAATCTCAGTAAACTTTGAAGATGCAAAACAGACTTTTTTTTTCATGAAAAAGTTTGATACCACTTAAGAAAAAATCCCGCTTAGATCGAAGACGATTAAGGAGTCGTCACTTATTTCATATTTTTATTGGGACACCCATGTAAAGTGTACAGTGAATAGAAAAAGTACACTAAAAACTCATTCAATTTTTGATGAAATTCAAAAATTTAACTCGAAATTACTACAGTAATTGTGGCCATGGATACTTTTCACATATAATATATCTGCCTGATCCTCCAAATCAACCTTCTTTTGAATGAGGTGGGACTACACACAGGAGATGTTTTTAGGATTCCGACCGTAAAGCAAAAAAAAATGGGAGTTAAGTGAATATTTGTTAATGTCATATTGTAAATGCTCCTAATGACTCCCCTCCCAATTTTGAGTAACGTGCAGTATCAGCATGATGGATTACGCTGAAATATATCCATATATAAATTTGGCTTGTCTGTCTGTTTGTTTGTCTGTTTGTCTGTTTGTTTGTTTGCATCCAATAAACGTCAAAACGGCTGAACCGATCGGGCCCAAATTTTTTGTGGGACCTCACGGAACCCCAGGGAAGGTTTATGAATGATCAAAATTTTAAAAAATTTGCGTTTAAAAGTTTTTTATTTTAGTAAAATTTTGAAAATGCGCGAAAAAATATTATGAAATCCGCAAACTTTTTTTGTTTGTTTTCGTTTTATACTGTACAAAGACAAGATGCTCACACAACACTATGAAAAGTTGAAATAGATGATGGGCGCGAAGCGCCCTAAAAGTCTAGTGAGTATATAAAGAAACGTAAGGCAAAGGGTGGGGAGATTTCAGTGCACGAAGAAGAGTAAATTATCCCCATACCCTTTCCTCCCTCCGTTAATTTAATTGAAGAGAATAAAATCCATAGTTCAAGATAATCATTTTGCATAATCATCGACCAACTTGTGTTATTATGTGTATTCTGCCAAACGGTGCTAGTATGAATAAGCACAGAGAGCCTTGGTTGCGCCTCTTGTTGCCGATACAGGCGCTAGCAGTCAGTTTAAGGCGCCGGCGCCAGTCCATTGCGTATTGTCATACAGAAACGACACAAGTTAATATGATTGAAATGGTAGCACACTATTATGTAAAATTACAGATAGTAAGTGCATTTTATTATACACCAACATTATAGCATCGTATACAATAATGGTACAATTGTTGACAAAATAAGATTTAAAAATATATATGATATAGATACGATCAAGGGTGTAATGCAAGGAAAGTTAATTGCGGTCGTGTATACTCTGCGTACACATTGAAACCAGTTCTCTTTGGGCGGAATTTGTAAACAAGATTAGATGCATCAATATTCGTTTAGTATCCGAGGAGGTTAAAAGCATTAAATTTTGATAATTCACATAATAGTTTCCTATGACCAGAATATTTCATTGATTTTTTTATGTGAAAGATGGATCCCATGTCAGGCTTTGACATCCGTCTTGTGTTTACAGACAAGTACACTGCAGTACAAAAGATGTGTACACTTCTGAAATAACTTTCCTTGCAATACATCCTTGGATACGATACTTATAAATCTTTAAATAGTTGTTGATATTTCTTCAAATATTATATATATATAATAGATATATATATAAAGATATATATACATGTAGTATATGTTTATTTATGTACAATAGATGTTTTGGATATATATATATATATATATTAGATATAACAAATGTTTAGAAACATATTTCCCAATATAACTTGTCAATAAATCAATCTTAGAATTATTTCTTTTCATCATTATATTGAATTTCTCATTCTTTATGATTTTTTCCCGCATTTTTCTTCAAATGTCGTCTTTTCAATAAAAGTTCCTGAAAATCTACAGAAAATGTTTGTGAACAATGAGTGATTACAGAAACTAATAACGGAATAAAATTACTTATTTTCGATGATAAGAGTTTATTTTTATTTTCTCAGCCTGTTCCTAAAGAACTTATTATTTTACTGTAGAATTTTTTTTACATTTTTTTAAAAAATACAAGAACGAATTATTTACATGTTGAAGGATTCGACGATTACCTAATAACTGAAATGATAAATATGTTATGTAATGAGTAATGATCAATGTCGTCTATTTGTGCATAATTTTGCATATTTTTCTCTTTTCTTTTGGAAATTATTATTTAAACAAATTTAAACTACACCATTTATATATGTATTTATATGTTTGTTTGTGAATAAATCTTTATATATATATATATATATTTAATAATTCTCCGCAATACTACATTCTCAGTTCAACTACCATACATTGCCGGTCATTCCCTTTAAAGATTAAAGACTAGTCATAACACCTAACAACGAACACGCAAACTATACTAAGAACAAAATATTTTCTAGTCGATGAAATTATAAATAGAATCCCATCCAAATAAGAATATTTTGCCTCGCTTTGAAGATTTTTTCTTGAAATGTCCTTGCTTCCCGTTCGATTAATCAGTTCTATAAAACCTTTTCTTTTATGAAAAACACGAAGGAGGTTTTCTGTTAGTTTTAAGATTGTTTAATTATGGCTTAATGAAATGCTACTGGATCATCTGGATACATATTTTACGCATCACAAAACCAACCTCTGCATTTCAAGGGGAAACAAAAAAAAAATACTAATTAAATTGCATTTCACCCAGTGAAAAAGAACAGCTTTTACAAGCACGAACAGATTTTTTAAGCACATTGTTAAATTCATAATCGTCAGCTTTAGGCAACTACAAAGAATCTGAAACTATTTAATTCATTTTTCGCAACACCTTAAAAGAGTGAATACAGCGGGTCTCAATAAACATAGAATTGAAGAGAAGAATTTCATCTAAAAAAAATAATTTATATATTTCCTATAAAATTACAATAATTGGCATAATGTTTAAACGTTTCTTATCTTAACGCACGTAATTTAAAAACTTTAAAAATTAGCATTGCATGTATTTATCCAAAAGTAGTTTTTTTTTAAATAATAAAATCTAACTAAATGTCTTTACTTAATTCCATATTTTATGGGAACTGCTATACACTCACCTCAAAATATTTGCAAATTTGTTGCCTCTGTATTATTTTATCTATCAATTATTTGAGTGAATGAAGTATGAATAACTGGTTAACAGGAGCATTGACCCAGCCCGCACTGTATTCTCTGCTTTTCAGGGTCATTCTTTACAGTTAGCCAAGCCTTAAAGGTATTCCAGAGATGTATGCATAGTATACTAAACATCCATCTAACTTAGTTACTGAGTTTTTCAACTCGTATTTCCGCATCATCAATGTAAAATATATTATGAGTGCGAATATATTGTATATAAGCATACAATATTGCATTCTATTTTGTCAAGAACTGAACGAACTATAAGAATAAAATATATCGGTTAAGAACGTGCTTACATTAAAATAAGTGTTAACAAAAATGAAAGGAGATATCATAGAGACTAAATCAGAGTTGAAGTCGATATCGGTACCAAACTTACTTTTATGTTATGTTTTTGTTATACAACGAAGAAAAGAGACGTGACTTATGAAAATTTTCGGATTTTAGAATTTTGATTATTTTGACACGCGCAATAACTTTGCCTTTCTTTGAATTAATATGTTCGGCAAAATATTATTATATTCTTAACATTTATATATTTATATATACTTATGTATCTTACCTAACTCCAGGAAGCTTTATGACCGCGCTGTCGAAATTGAAACAAATATTAATTTTAAAATGTTTGTAAATCTAGCAATGAAATCAGAAAAATCTGAAAAATGATGGTTTGAAAAGGAACAATTAAAAATATTTCTGTTATTTTTCCTATTTCTGATCCTTTCTTGTGTGTCTCTACGTCAGGCGTTCTTTACTATGATTAAACCTACTGTTTTTTAGTCTCTAACCTTACTTAATTTAACTTAATACTTCTTTATCAATAAATTTACAAAAGTAAAACCAACTACACACCAAACACAGATACAATTACGATGGATCTAGCGGTAACCTGGCTCCAATTAATGTTCATTCCAAGATAATAGGGAACTTGAGCCAAACCCTGCAATTACTGAATTAACAATTAGGTCCTTATTGACTACATCCTACTATATCCCCTCCCCACCCCCACCCGTTAGAGGTCCTATTTGGCTACCTTGTACTTGAACCAATTGCCATTATTATATTAAGATTTTTGTATTTTCCGGTTGATACGTTTTTTGGGTTATTCAGGCTAGTTATGACTGACTTTAAATGAGAATTAAAGACTGAGTTTTTTCTTTGACATTTGCAAACAGCAAACAGGCGATCGTTAGTCAGAATTGCGCAATAACGGTTAAACCAATGTCTACTGCATCTACGGCTAGGACACAGGGGGTGGGGCATAAACTATGACAAAGACAAGCTAGAATTGTGGTGAAGAAAATCATATATTTATATTGAAACAGTAAAGTCAGAAATCAGAACTTGTGTGCCCATCTTATGCAGATATACAGATTAATCTAATTTCTCATAGATATCCAGTGGTGGTTATACCCGTCAGGGGTAACTCTAATTGAGGGATTACGTATTTTTCCTCAAATTCAAGCTTAAGATCAAGTGTTCAAGATTAACGATAGTTTATTAGAAATAATGATTAACTGAAAAACGACTGCACATGATTTAATATTCCTGAGATGGAATTTAAAGAATTTGAGCCGCGGTTAAAATCCGCCAAAACCCGGTTTAAATTTAGCGCCGGCTTAAATCTTGAAACATTTGATACAATTTTAAAGTGGAACCAACCATATTTAAACCGCGGCTTAAATTTAAACTGCAGCTCAAATTCTTTAAATTCGGCCACTGGTTTCCTTTTTAATTTTAATTTTCTTGCACTGGCTGTTTGAAACGAATTAACTCGAAAAACTATAATTTAATTTTAGAGAATTATGAATTTTAATGTTGGAAATGTGGAAACTGTCCGAAGTATGTGACACTGCAGCAGGGTAAACAATGAGGTTTCTGCTCATCTATACAAACCCATAACAAACAAGATACAAGATGATGCTAATTTTGCTGTTATCGGTGAGAATATCTTCATATTTGAAAAATTACTATTTTGTTTGTGTTCATGTTTTTAATGTTTATTTCAAACAAGCTTGGGAACCAAGCTTTGTCTGAATTTGTTTCTTCAACTTCTCGTGGTTCTACAAACAAAAAAAACAGAATCTCTGTTTGTATGTCTTTGTGTTTATCTACAGAGCGTCCCATATCATATTAGATTATCTCCAATCTTTAACGCCAAAATACGCACATAATACTCAAAAATTCTAGCATTTTCGGCAAAAAAAAATTTCTATTAGCCTGATTAAATTTTTTAAAATGATTCATTCTTCTTAAATTTTCTGATTTATCCCACAAATTGTAATTTAGACCCATTGACGCGGTCTAATTTGATATGGGACACCCTGTATCTATATGATTATATATTATACATTTTAAAAAATCTTTTATTATCTTAAATAGAGATAAAGCAACGTGTAATGTTCAACTATGTGAATATTGGTTATCTTTAAGTGTATCTGGATCGGTGCTGATGGTACCTTATCTTTGCTAGGCAACTCATACATTTTTACTGATCAAACTTACATAACAGACCCTCAGGTGAGATACAATTCTGACGGTACCCCGGCCCATATATTTGATAACAATAAGTAAACCAGTATGCGTAAATGTAAAATATTATATATACATATAATTCATGGCAAAAAATTTGAATTTTAGGCTGGTGAACGCAACAGGGGAGTGTACGCTAAACAGGTGGACAGAAAAAAAAAATGACTTATTAGTAGATCTTAATATGTAAGATTAGTTTTATATTGGCATAATTCATGACAAAAACCACTGATTTGTGTATCTGTCTTAATTGTATAATAGTTTTACTTCAGTATGGACCGTTTGGGGATGACCTAGTCCTAGCTCTTGGCAACAGAGATCTTCACCTTATTCGTGGACATTCTCATGAGCCTCATAGCTCCCATAGGTAAGAGTTTAGTCCAATAAAACTAAATGTCTTGCTGCGTTGCGTTTTATAATTAAAGAAAATAATAGTTGGTGAATTCTTAAATTTATTCTGAAGACGTAAGAGACTGCATTCAAAAACTGGTTTAATAAAATATGACAACAATTAAATACTGATATTAACTATTCATAAAAATCGGGATTAATCATTCCATTCTTTCTAACTTTATTTACAGAGTGTCTCACATCATATTATATCGTTAATCGGTCTAAATTACGATTTTCGGGACTAATCAGATAATTTAAAAAGGATGAATCATTTTGAAAGTTTGAATAGTAAGAAGTTTCTTGCGGAAAATGCTAGGTTTTTCGAGTATTTTGTTTTTTTTTGCCGTTAAAACTTGTAGATAATCTAATATGTTATGGGACACTCTGTAGTTTCTGATTTATAAACTTTTGGATTAAAATGTATCAATTTACAATGTAAACGATGATATTTCGTTTCTTTAAATAATAAGACGAATTTGACCTAAAAAAATAGATTTCGCAAGATTTAGTAAATTGCTGATGCCGTTGTCCTGCATAATTCCATCTCCCCCTAAATATTTAACCATTTTCAAACCTTGTCAACACAATGTTAGATATAAAAAGCAATTTAAAACATTGAACATTATTTATAAATCACATAGTAACTCTAAAATATAATTTATTCAGAGAGGCGCAAATGTCGTCCACTCTGAATGTCGTCCACTCTAATTTTCTAATCTCTATATCTCTGCAACCCGATGTTGTAGACCTTTAATATTCCAAACTAAACGTTCTGTTATTCAAATAGTTTAAGTTTAAAATATCAAAAATTTACAACATTAAGTTGCAAAGATATAGGGATTCGAAAATTTGGGTTTGAGGCGAAAACTCGATTCCTTTGAAAACTTGTCTGCCATTCTTTTGATGCATAGGATTCCTAAAACCTGATACTTTTGTATAATTTCAATTGAAAAAAAGCGAATTTTTCTTGGAAAAAAAAACAATTTCTACCTTTACCAAAATACATTTTTCCCATAGGAATTTTGACTTCATTGGATGTTTTAAAGTATCGGGGCGTTATTTCGCATTAGGCATTTTGTTTTGGGCGTTCAATAGATTATGTAAACATTTGCTCCTGCACCCCCCAAAAAAGCTGAAAGTACATTTTGATATATATGTGAACGATTATGCATATATTTAAAGCATTGACTATAATTACATTTATTGTATTTTTAGCACCCCTTTGCATCATTTGGATTAAAAACTAATATACATGATTTATAATTTTCTTTGATTTTAGAGTAAAACGATACCAGTCAGTCAACGAATATAGTGCAAAACCACCAAAATTCGGATCTTCCATCAGTATAAACAATAAGGTTTCAATTCGCAATGAGTGGTACAGAAAGGTTCAAATACCAGAAAAGAGAAGTTCAAAACATTCAGGTTTCCGTGAAAGAACACAAAAACAATCTCGAAACGCCAAATCCTCCTATAGAAGACTGAAAACGATGGGATCACACAGAAATAGGAAGTTTTATCTTGTAAATAGTTTTCAAAGGCCCTCTAAAACTATGAGATAGTCTAAAATCTAAATATTCGAATTTCATTTTGATTCTTGATGCATGCATGCTTTAAAACAGTGTTTTTAAAAACTCCATACATACTTGGTTTTCAGTTTTATAAAACCACCATAACATAACTTTTTTAACTATGTTTTTAATTTGTATTTGTTTAAAAAAAGTTTATTTTGTTTTTAAAGGGACATAAAGGAAAAATGAATAGACTGAAACCTGAGAATCCCAGGAGTTGATTGAGACATATAAAAATGTTCATGTCTCGATAAATTTATATAAAACTGTGTCAAAATTTTACCAAAACGTATATATGTAAAATTTTGTATAAGATTCGTAGTATTAAACAGATCATATTTAACAAATACGCGACCAATATGAAAACAACTATATCCCAGAGGAGTCTAAGAAACTCAAGTTTGCTCCTTTTATTGTTTAAATTTAATGATTATTTATGTGTCCGAAACATGTCACCAGAACTCCAACCAATGGCCGTGCAATGTTATTGTCACGTGTCTTCGTCTGTATTACGTGTCCAGTATACTGCACTGTCATTGGAGGGAGTTCTGGTCACGTGATACGTACGTACATATCTTAATATATACGTTTTGGTATAATTTTGAAACAGTTTTATGTCAATTTCTCGAGACAGGAACATCAGAATCAGATTGATGTCTTATATGTATCGTTCAACTCCTGAGATTCTCAGGTTTCAGCCTATACCCTCTTTAATTTTTCCTTTACAGTCCCTTTAAGATTAAAACAAAATAGATTTCCTTCCGAAGGTTTGATTGGCGGTTTTAGTATGTTGAAAGCAGTAAATGTAAGAAAACGATGTGGCGTGAAACTAATCATCGGAATAAAAAACTTTTTTATAGAAAAAGTAAATACAAAATTGCCATATTTGTATTTAATTGTATTAACTTTAACTGTATAAAATTTATCCATTTTAAAATGTTTAAACATCAATGAAGGAAACAATTAAGATTTATATTTAAGAGTAAATGCCATGAGAACTTGTTTCAGTCTCTAACAGATTGATATGTCAAGTTCTTACTGTATTCGAATGAATGTGCTATTTTTGTGCCAGATCAGACTGAACTGTCTTCCATTATGCAAAATATTTTTTCCATATTTGGCAGCTGATATTGATTGGATTAATTTATTAACTATTTATAGTTTACTGTATTATTAAGATAACAAATCTTTGGTTGTAAATAAAGGTAGTATTTTAGTTTAAAATTTGATTCGATAGAATTTAGTGATTATGATTTGGGTTTGTTTGTTTTCATCAAAAAGACGTCAAAACTGCTTAAACAATGTTCCAATGTTTTTTCTGTGAGACCTCACATATGACATGACACTTTTTCTCCCATCAAAATTTTTCAATATTGATGGTCCAAAAACCTTCCTAGGGGTAATAACATTATTAATAATAGTATTAAACAGTTTTTATGCAACAAATATGTATACCACTCTAAAAACTACAATTTACCTGCAGAGTAACCTGAGAAACTCAGGTTTGCTCCTATTATTATTATTTGAATTTCATAATTTTTCATTTTTAATAGATATAATTGATAATATTATTTACACATCTAGACCATGGGACCAGAACTCCAATGACAGTGCAGTATTAGTGTCACGTGTCTCCGTCTGTATCACGTGACCAGTATACTGCATTGCTATTGGAGAGAGTTCTGGTCACTTGATACGGACGTATATCTTCTATATATGCGTTTAGGTATAATTTTGACACAGTTTTATGTCAATATCTCGAGACAGGAACATCAGATAGATGTTTTATAGGTCTCGATCAACTCCTAAGATTCTCAGGTTTCAGTCTATTCCCCCTTTTATTTTTCCTTTACAGTCTCTTTCAGTATTATAGTCTTGTGATTTTTTATTTGTGGTTTACCAGATGTTTAGTTTTAAAATAAAGAATCTTGTCCATGCATTTAATTTGAGAAATAAAATCCAAATACAAAAAATATTTTCGTAAATTTTAAGAATAAAGAAAATGAAACCTGCCACTTTTGTTTTACACTAAGAGCTGTTTTTTATCTTTTGTAAATCAAAAACGATTTATCAGTCATCTCTTAATTCGCATTTTTATATGAACACTCTGTATGAGATAACATATTGTGTGTTGTAATATGTGCTTTTCTTATTTTCTTAAAGTTGTTGAGAACTTTCATTTATTCCAAGTGAAAATACTAGTTTCACAAGGTTCCGAGAAATATGCAGAAATGAATTAAGTTAAAAACGAATGTTTGGAATGGATAAATCGTGTTCTCCAAAACATTTTTTATAAGTTTCTACTGTGTTTAACACAACATATTATTATTTATTACCTTTTTATTAACTATTTATGACACTGTAATTTTAGTTCGCAATGCTCTAAAGTTATTGGAAAGAAATTTTGTCTTTATTGAGATCCTTTTTAGATTATATCTATATATATAAAGTTGTAATCTCTGTTTGTCTGTTTGTTTGTTTGTTTGTCCGATCATAACTTTGGAACCCCTAGTCTGATTTGCCTCAAATTTTGATTGGGGAACTCGGGAGACCCATGGGAATGTTCTTAGCTTGGTTTTAAGATTTTAAGTTGAGTAGGACATCTTTTTTATCGGGAAAAATAGTTAAATCATAATTTACGACAAGCACGCGGGTTATCAGTGGGACTAACTATGACACCCTGTGCAACGCTTGGTTCTAAGCAAATTTATAATAAAACAAAATAAAATCTAAAATACCGTATCGATAAAGAGAAATCGTCTGTCCTAAAACTTTATAACACGTCGTGCCAAAATATTATCGTTATTGATGATTTCATAAAATGTTTATGTACTTGTCTCGATAAAAAAATGTCTAGTCTTTTAGTAAATCATAAATAAAAATAAAAGTTTATTTCAATTTTATTTTCATTAGACTGAATAAAAATTTCTAGAAATATTCTAGTTTTTTTTTTGGAGAAATTCGGGAACCAATGAAGCTTATGTTAACTTTATAGTACATCTAAAATGAACTATACCATAAAAATGACCATTTAAAAAGTTGAATTTCTTGTTAATTGTAAATCAGATTGCTTTATAACAGAGAATACAAACAAAATGTCTTTAATGTCGTCTTCCTATTCCACAGTTGTATGGGTGCTTTGCTTACTCTGTCCCTTTTATCAACCCTATAGTTTAGAACAATTCTTTTTAAAAGATGTTATAAGTAAAAACATACAAAAACATGCATGCGTAAAGTGACACTATTTTCAGGGATGCAGACCATAACAGTTAACTGATTCCTCTTTACACACATCCTTTCGCAAGCAGACAGCCGTTATCCTAACTTTTTATTGCGGCATAGGGAACATGAAATGCTTAAATTTATTAAACCCTTTATCTTTACAAGCTGATGGTGTAAACCTTTGATATTTCAAACCTAAAATATTTAATATAGCAGAATTCAAAGCTTGAAATATCAAAGGTCTACAACATCAGGTTGCAAAGAAATTGGGATTGTGACAAGAAGTTTGTTCCTTTACCCTGATTGAATGATGGGAGCAAGGATATGTTTACCCCGGGTTGAATGCTGGGAGCAAGAATATATTAATTCATGGTTGAATAGTGGGAGCAAGGATATGTTTACTCCGGGTTGAATGCTGGGAGCAAGGATAAATTTACTCCGGGTTGAATGCTGGGAGCAAGATTAAATTTACTCCGGGTTGAATGCTGGGAGCAAGATTAAATTTACTCCGGGTTGAATGCTGGGAGCAAGATTAAATTTACTCCGGGTTGAATGCTAGGAGCAAGAATATGTTTACTCCGGGTTGAATGCTGAGAGCAAGAATATATTAATTCATGGTTGAATGGTGGGAGCAAGGATATGTTTACTCCGGGTTGAATGATTTGAGCAAGGATGAATTTACTCTGGGTTGAATGGTGGGAGCGAGGATATGTTTACTCCGGGTTGAATGCTGGGAGAAAGATTAAATATACTCCGGGTTGAATGCTGGGAGCAAGATTAAATTTACTTAGGCTTGAATGCTAGGAGCAAGAATAATTTTACTCCGGGTTGAATGTTGGGAGCAAGAATATATTGATTCATGGTTGAATGGTGGGAGCAAGGATATGTTTACTCCGGGTTGAATGCTGGGGGCAAGATTAAATTTACTCCGGGTTGAATGCTAGGAGAAAGATTAAATTTACTCCGGGTTGAATGATTGGAGCAAGAATATATTAATTCATGGTTGAATGGTGGGAGCAAGGATATGTTTACTCCGGGTTGAATGCTGGGAGCTAAGATGAATTTACTCCGGGTTGAATCCTGGGAGCAAAATTATGTTTACTTCAGGTTGAATGCTGAGAGCAAGGATGAATTTACTCTGGGTTGAATGGTGGGAGCAAAGATATGTTTACTCCGGGTTGAATGCTTGGAGCAAGAATATGTTTACTCCGGGTTGAATGCTGGGAGCAAGATTAAATTTACTCTGGATTGAATGGTGGGAGCAAGGATGAATTTACTCTGGGTTGAATGTTTATTCCGGGATGAATGCTAGGCCGGAGCAAGATTAAATTTACTCTAGGTTGAAAGCTCGGAGCAAAAATATTTTTACTCTGGGTTGAATGCTGGGAGCAAGAATATGTTTACTCTTAGTTGAATGGTTGGACCCCCCCCCCCCCCACCGAATCGAAAAGTCAAAACGCATTGATAAATAATATTTATAACGGTTTTATTTTTATTTTTTTCACTAAACGAACGATTTTTTTCTTTTAATCTTTTTGAAATTTTACTGGTATGACTTTGTGAATTTGTAGCTTCACCAGTTTTGAATTTACTGGTACCACTTTCTGACCTCGTAGCTCCTAGTTTTGATTTTACTGGTACGACTTTGTGATCTTTTAACACCTACAGTTTTAATTTTACTGGTACAACTTTGTGACCTCATAGCTCCTCAAGTTTTGATTTTACTTTCACGACTTTGTGATCTTTTAACACCTACAGTTTTAATTTTACTGGTACAACTTTGTGACCTCATAGCTCCTCAAGTTTTGATTTTACTTTCACGACTTTGTGATCTTTTAACACCTACAGTTTTGGCTTTAATGGTGAGACTTTGTGACCTCGTAGCTCCTCAAGTTTTTATTTTACTGTTACGACTTTGTGATCTTGTAACTTGAGACAGGGTATCGTAATGAAAACCAGTTTCAGGAGTGGGGTTAAGCAGTTTTGTGGATATCATTATTTTTGTTATGAAATATTTTTTTATTTAGTTTCTCAATGTTCTTCAGTTTGGTCGAATCTCTTAAATCAGATCTACAAATGTTAAGACCCCAGAAAGGAAACTCAGGAGTTTCGTACAACGATGCTCTTTTAAATTTCGGGCTCAGAGTATCATAATGAAGCCCAGTAATTAAAACCCGGTTTCATTAATGGGGTAAATACCAATATTTGTGTTAAAAAATATTATTTTATTTGGTTTCTTTACAATTTTCTTTATTTTTTATGATTTCTTAAATTTAAATGTACATCGACACCAAAAAGGAAACTCGGGAGGTTCATTTAATGATACTCTCTTAAATTTCCGATACTCTCTGTACGATTTCCAAGTTGTCTTGTCAGCATTCTATACTTTAACCTTTCTCCGTTCTTCGCTCATTAATATATGTTTTGTTTTCTAGATGTGCTACTGATGCTAGTTTTGAAAGTTATGACAATGTACTAAAAAGCAATTTTTGATTGATAATATTGATAATATTATAAAGCTGGGAAAAAAGCCGTATTTAAATAGGGAAAAAGAGTATAGACAAACAATCCTGAGTGTGGGTCAGCATGTTTTCCCCCAAACAATATTATCTCTATATAGCCGGTGCAGTTTTTTTGTTGATTAAGTACGCATTTTTTATTTCGCGGAATTTTATCTTTAACCCAAGTTGCAAAAAAACGACTGTATTGAAATTTCAAAAGTCGTCTGCTATTTACTATAACAGTGATTTCAATCTGAATCAAAAGCCTGACTGGAATCAAGAATGGTACAAGAGGAAAAAGAAGATAAATAACAGACTACAAGTAACTGTTCAGTAAGGAGATGATGGAGGAATTTGATAATATATGGGACTTTTGTAATTGTCTGGTTTTAAACCCAATGTTCTCCCCGATTATCGAAAAAACGATGCAACCTAATGGGAAATCTGGAAGAGATCAAGAAATCTGAGTGGGTTCCCTGATAAAAATCAAAGACCCCGATACTAGAGATAAAGGAACCAGGGAACCCAAAGATCAATGAACCTTGAAAAATGGAGATCAAGAAACCAGGAGGAACCTGAAGATCAAGAGACCAGACAACCTGTAGATCAAAAAACCAGAGAACCTAGAGACCAAGGGACCAGGCAACCCGGAGATTAAGAAACCAGGTAACCCGGAGATCAATATGGAAACTCAGAGATCAAGAAACCAGGGAACGTGGAGATTAAGTTTTTAACAATATTTAATTAATGAGGACTTTATTCAAAAACATCATTACAAGTAATACTTTAAGAATGAAACTAAACTAAAATCATATTAGCATGGTACAGTAACCTTATTTATTTGAAAAATTATAACCAAAACATAGTAATTCATTAACATGTTATGTCTGTGTACGGGTTCTTTACTGAGATACCTTCAGAGATGTTAGATATTGTCCAACCTTCTCATTGTCTCTTAGTGCATACATCGACTGCTTCCTACTCTCGGACTAGAAATGAAATAAAATTCATTTAAATTATAAAAATCTTTCATTTATCATATTTACTATTTACAGATTAGACAGATTCTAGAGTTTAGTCAATTGTGACAATTTCAAATTAATCTCTTCTTTCTGTTTGTTTTTTATCATTCCTATGGTTTTACACTCCAACTTTGACCTGTTCTAAATCAAAAAATATCTTTTACATTTTTTAACTTCATGGGGGGGGGGGGCAAAAATCTTCCCCCCCCCAAATCTAAGCGTCGAAGCATGATTCCTGTATACCTTTGATAATTTACGTAAAGGGGATCTACGGTTTCTTGATGGAATCCCAAGTTCAGCGAGAACCTCCTCCTCCATTTCAACAAACATCCTTAAGCAAGGTACAATTTATAAACACATGTTAAAACATCTTATTTGAGTTTAATCTATTTTTTAAATCATAAACATCAAATATATAAATATTAAACTAATATAATCAATTTATTATTCATTATTAGCAACAATTGATTCCCTTATAAACTTATAGAAATCAAAACAAAATATGCTTTGATATGTAAAATATCGACACTTAAATACAAATAGCGGAGCATGTTCATACCTGTATATAGCCACGTTTTTGGGCTCTTGAGAATCTACAAGCTCAACCTAGGACAAACAGTACTTAATCTATATAATACAGCTCTGCGCTGATATATATACTAGCTAAAAAGCGGACCGTAAAAAAGTCGAGTTTTGAAAAAAAAATTGATATTAAAAAAATAGAAAATTTTAAACCTATGTTTTCCCTGGGTTAGTAAACGGTTTCCTCAAAAAATTTCAGCCAATTTGGTTTAGCCGTTTGATCAGCTAAGCTAACATAAATATAAATATCTATATAATAAAACAAGGCATTAATATATATATTTTTTATATATATAATAAAACAAGACCTTCATATATATGTTGTGTATAGCCGTCCAAACAGCTAGACCGAATGGGCTAAATTTTTTTATAAACACGCAGGGGTGGCCGGGGGCAGTTATAGGCTAAAAAAATTTTATTTAAAAAATAATTTTAAAAAAAAATTATAATTTTTTTTCTTCCACGGGCAACGCCACCCTGTTCAGCTAGTATCTATGTGTAAAAAGTTGTCATCTCTTTTGTCTGCCTGTGAGTTTGTTTATCCGATCATAACTCAAGAACCCCTAGAATGATTGGCCTCAAATTTTGATTGTGAACCTGTGAAGAACCACGGACATGTTCTTAGCCTGGTTTTGAGATTCTTAATTGAGTGGGTTGAATTTTATAGCGAAAATCTAATTGTAAGGGTAATTGGTGGGATTAACTATGAGTAACAGCTGGGAAGCTCCGGGTTCCGAAGCTAGCATATAATAAAGCTCTTTGCTCATATAATTATATATATTATGTAGATACATTTGTATCCGATAAGTAAAACACAGATTATTATTTTTCCATTTTATTGTTGTAGATATATTTTTATATCTATATATATATGTTAAATATAGCTGGCCAAAAGGCTACACCAATTATTGGCTGAAATTTTTTGAGGGAACCCATGGGTACCCTGGGGTACCATAGACAAAAAATTCAAAATATATATTTTTTTAAATCAAATTTTCTTTTCAAAAATCCTTTCTTTTCCTTTAAAATTCGATATTTTTTCTTTCACGGGCAACGCCGGGCACTTAGTTAGTAAATTATAAGTACACTGAGCTTCCAGAGTGTTTTGCGACCCTCTTTTTAATATATATGTATATAAATATATATATATATATATATAATTGAATTCTTAAAGAAAAAAAAATGAAATTTGAAAAAAAATGATTTTTTTGCCTATGTTACCCCCCAAAAATTCAGCCAATTCGATAATATAAGTATTAGCTTTAAGTTTCCATTACGGGACTAGAAGTGCATTGCAAGACTGTCTTCTATGTATATTGTATTTGTAACATATTTAAAATTAATCTCTAACCGGTCTCTCCCTTTAAAAGCTAAAATTGTTACTATGAAGAAAGATAAAATATGCATCCGAAGAGATAATTGAAAATGACCTATTTAAGATTCGACCTTTTTAACTCAAAACAAAACCAAGAACATTCTTGTGATTCCTCAATTAAAATCTAGGGGTTTGAGATGGATGATTGATCGGACAAACAAAACTATTCTAAATATATATATATATATATATTTATATATATACATAATAGCATTCAAATCTATTTTTATTTTACTCCATAAATATGAAAGATTTTAATTGAAATTATTACAAACTTGCCTCCTCTTTTTTCTCCTTTTCTTTAATAATTATTTTCTCCTTTTTCTCTTCACTTCCTGCTCTTTCTTCCATGAATTTCAGCCTCTCTGTTTCGCGTTGAGTAAACTCCTAAATTTTGAAAAATAATGTAAAATGATTTTTTTAATTTAATTTTATTATAAAATTTAAAAATTGATTTTTTATTTGTCGCTTTATGACATCATTCTACCTACTACAAAGTATTCGTCTTTCCATGATTTTTGTATACTTTCTTTTCAGATTCCATTTTGGAAATGTCTTCTTTAATTATTACTCATTTAATACTTCTTACTTTAAAGTAGGAAACTTATTTATTACTTACTAACCAAAATCTTTTAGCCAAAAACCGCAAAGGAAAGCAAGAAGTTTTACTTACCTCAATCTTAAATTATGTAAGATTAAGCTATGGGGCATTTTTTTGTAAAAAATACTAAAATTCACCTTGCACAAGTTATAAATGTTTTCTTTGATACTTTTTAAAATAAGATTTGAGATTTTTTTTGAATGTTAGAACTCAGCTTTTTTTTTTTGCTTTTTGTGTAAATCAAATCACAAATAATGTAAGTCAGAAAAAAATTTCGTCAAAATAAATCAAGATGGGTATCAAAATATCCGTCTTAAACAACAGATTTAAGAAACGTTAAATTATTAGTAAAAATTTCTTGAAAATTAGATGAAACAATTTTTGAAATATCGAAAACAGACAAACGGACGGTATTTAGCGGTTCAAGATGCATCTTTTGATACCCATATCAACATCGACCTTCACTTATGATCTCTGTTTTTTCAAATCATAAATTACTGAATGAGTATTTTTTTTCTTTTATAAATTTTGCTTCTATATATAAGAAATTGAGTAAGAAATTGAGTGTTTGCCACGTATTCTTTGATATTTGAAACTAAAATTCTGGTAAAATAAGTAGTGTCAGTTTGAAATATCAAAGGTTTACACAATCAGATTTAGGACTCAACTATTGTATAATTTTTGCTTGTGCAAAAGTAATTGACATTTCCCCTTAACTTATGTGAGGTCTGAAACAACTGTTGAAACAAACTTGAGAAACATTTGTCTGAATTTATTAGTTTTGAGGTGGTTAACATTTTTAAAACGGTCAAAAAATCTATTAAATATTTTCTTCAGTTATATAGGATTAATTAGCCATTATCAGATACCTCTGTGTCCTCCCGTTCTGTTAGCCCAATATCTTGAAGATTTGGCGGTAATTTGAGAAGCCGAACACTTCCTGTTGTATCAGCTGTAGATAAATATTGATTTTCATCTTCAACAACTTCATAACCTATAAAAATAAACAAAAATGTAATATAATCTAGACTAATCTTTTCCTTTTCTAAAAATATCAATAAATATTTTAAAAGTTTTAAAAAGTTGTGTGATATGTTATCAGGAAAATAAGTAAAGTTTAATATTATTAAAAAATTTTATGTTGCATAGCTTCCGATGTTTGTATATATATTATTTATTGTCTTCGGATGAGTCAAAATTTCGTAGGTTTTGAAACAAATTTTTATTCAAAAGTATTTGGGCATTCCAAAATTTAAGCTTGTCACCCTGTCAAAAAATAATTGAAAAAGCACTCGTAAACTCAGAATTAATAATTCCAATTAGTTCCAAACCTCGGGCAGTCTAAAACCAGACAATAAGAATACAATTAATATCTATATATAGAAGCGAACCACTCCCCAGAGATCATCTAGTATATGAGGTTTTTAGTGGTGAAGATAACCCCTCAGGAGATACCTCACCAATTCCCCTCTATCTATAAGATAAGAAGAATCAACCATAGCATCAAGAGAATTACATCCCCAACCAGGACTATTCCAGGAGCATAGTGAACTATTAGAGGACCATACCACTAGATTATTGAATATAGAGGAGAGGTATGACTCTATCCAGGAAACATTATGTAGAATGAAATCCAGGAAAAGAATCTAAGTAAGATAGAGGCTATGGAGTCCAGGATTACCCTAATTGATAGGAATGTTAAAACCTATATTAGTTAGCCCTGCTACAGAGCAAATTTCAAACTTGGAGAGACCTTCCAGCACAACACCCAGTACCAGGATACTATCAGAGACCATTACCAGAGTATAGAAGAGTACTGCAGAGACATAGGTTTACCATGAGGTACGAAAGGAATCTGATCTGAGAAAACAGACTTAGGCAGATGAAAGGGCAGTAGAGAGACTGAGAGATCTAGTAGTGGAAGTAAGAGATCAAGTTAGTAGGAACCCATTATCAGCAAATGTGTCCTGCTCCCTACACACGTCCACACCTTAAACCCCGGACCCAATCCAATCATCTAGAGAATGTGAAGTTGATAAAGGTAACATTGAGTGTTCAGTTAGATAAATTAGACAACTAACCTCAAGAACAATGTCATTGAGATCGGATGTAGGATAAATTAAGAAGTGTAACACAGAAGACACAACTAAAGTCAATCAATATGATAAATCTTGCAGGGACAATCTTTGATCTTATAAAATATATCAAATACCCCTATATAGACCATAGATTTTGCGATGCAGTACAGACAGCATTAGACGCAGCAGACGATTGGATATTAAACATAGAGAGTGTATGTGCAAGGTCAGAAGCACATGCCATAAGTGAGTCACGAGGAGATATTACTAGATTAGGTAGATTTGCAAATAATGCAAATAAGACCTTGTTTGAGTTTATAGATGAAGTAGATCTAGCAATTTTTGGATGGGGTACATCTAAACAACGGGAAGCATTATTGAGTGGTTATCTAAAAAAAGAAATAAAATTCCGCACAGCAGAATTCTCAGACAATTTTACCAACTCTGAAGAAAGATGACCGAGAAGAGACAGGATTGGGACAACCCTCAAGGTTCAGCTACATATGCTGTATTCAAGGAGTACTGTGAAACAGAAAGAGATTGTGTTTCTGCGTATCATTGAGTAGAAAACAGCAACAAGAGTAAACCCAAGACGGTGGTCATATCAGACCATAAGAGAACAGTCAATATGTAATGAAAGAAAATAAAAGTTTTATAAAGGTATTAGTGAATTAATCACATGCCAAGGTGATTAATTCCCCCTCCAGTTTTTTAATGTGCAGGAAGCGGCACCATGCAGAGGTTCGAGCAAAATATGTCGATACAAAGAAAACTTTGGATATTAATGAGTCAAATCTAAAAGTAACGGCTAATTTTGTTTGGCAGGTTCATTAGAATAACCCTCAGCATTTTTTTCCCTCTTGGATATTAAGGTACCCTGTACAGAGACAAACTCAGGAACAAGGATGTATCCACTCCTGACATTGAATCTTTAAAACCAGAGTTAACTCAACAGTCAACATGCTCATTATTTAATGCAGATAGCAGATAATGCAAATAGGGGAATATCAGGTTTTGACTTTTTTTGATTAAGGTGCTTATTCTCATTTAATAAATGGAGAATTGGCGGAGTTAGAGGAGTTGGAGACATAATCGGCAAAACGAACCTAGATAACCCTAGTCGGAGGCGGGGCTGTGTGTCCAGATTATGGCAGATTATGTCCAGATGATGAGAACAGGTTCCAGGAGCTCAAGTGCATTGAAATGGACGACCTCACATCTGGAAATATCATCTCAAAGATATAAACAAAAAGTTTGAATATTCCACAAAATTTATTGAGCCACTTCCTAAATGTGTAGGGAGGGGGGGGGGCGGCAAAGTCAAGTTATTAATTGGGATTAAGAACACAAACCTAGTTTCAGTTCTAATCAAAACATTAAACTTATAGGGGCGTATAAAAGTCAATTCAAGGATAGTTTTGGTTCAAGAATCATATTTGCAGGCTGCATGAGTCATCACACCAGGTGACATAGGAATAAAGGAGGGAGTATCCCATGCAGTGTTTCATATAAACTGGAAAAGGGAGGAAATAGCTACTGGAAAAGAAATACCCTACTCCATAATAGGGGATAGAGAAACTGGAGCATGTGTATACCAGGGTGCGGAAACGTCATGTGTGTTTGTCTGTACCAATAGAGTGTGTAAAGTTTACCGAACCAAAGGTGTGTACTGTAGGTATATAGTGTAGGTATATCTTTTTTTAACAAAAGAACAAGCCAATTGGATATTATAAGAATTTGATATATTATTGAACTAAAAAATGCTGTTATTTACTTCAAATACTAAAAACAGTGCTTTAAAAAAAAATTCGACATGGGGGGGGGGGTCAGACCTCTTCAATCCACTACCCATGCACCTCAAAATCAAATTTCGCCCCCCCCCTCACAAAAGTGTTAGTTGCACTACTGTCAGCAGTATTGGCAAAGGTAAAACTCTTCGGCACCCAAGATACATAAGGCAGGGCAGGAGCAACATTAGTACTAAGTTCATTAACCAATCCCAGCAAGAAAACCTACCCTGCTTTCCTCTTGTGCTCCTCTAGCAGAGGACTCCTTTTATCCTCCGAAAATGGAGAATCCTCCTCATTTACTCCTCAATTGTGGAGTCAACCAAAAACGGAATTCCGTAGGAATTCCTTTTGAGGAGAGCTCCACAGTTACTCCTCAAGTGGAGTACTTCTTTCTTCCAGCGAAAATGGATGGTTCTCCTCATTTCATCCTCTTGTGGAAAATCCTCCTCATTCCCTCTGTTTGAGGAGAGTTCTCCAAAAGAGGAGCTCTGTCGAAATTCCTTTTAAGGAGATCTAATCATGTGACATGGTTGTGGGACAGGACCAGTGATAAGACAACATGTATTTTCATACATGAGTTATATAAAAATGATGATAAAAAACGAGGGCCCTCTGAAAAGTATGCTCATTTGTCAAATCTTAGTCAGTTTAAATCAATTCTTCAAGGTGCAAGCATGCTACACAATATGTTCAGAAAGTTTCTACATGATGAGATCTGCCTGACCTGTAACAATTGCGAAATTTTTTAAACAATGGGATGCTCTTTATAAATACAATAATCTTAAAGAACTTTCCATAATTTAGCTGATTAGCTTTAATCATCAATCTTCAACTTCAACCCTCGAAAGAGTCAACAACCATCATTAATCCACAATTGAAAATATCCCTGATTGAATTCTATGATATAAATCTGTTATTTAAATAATTGTAACCATGTATAAATTGGCCTAGTTCACTAGTAGATATTTAATGAATATTGTAAAGATCATGTTTAGAATTATATTTGTTTAAATGCAACATTTATAGATTGATAGTTAAAAGATAGATAAATAGGTGAAATAAAAAGAAAGATAGATAGATAAATAGAAAGATATATAGATGGATAGATAGATAGATAGATGATAGATAGATAGATAGATAGATAGATAGATAGATAGATAGATAGATAGATAAATAGAAAGATATATAGATGGATAGATAGATAGATAGATAGATAGATAGATAGATAGATAGATAGATAGATAGATAGATAGATATAGATAGATAAATAGATAGATAGATAGATAGATAGATAGATAGATAGATAGATAGATAGATAGATAGATAGATAGATAGATAGATAGATATAGATAGATAAATAGATAGATAGATAGATAGATAGATAGATAGATAGATAGATAGATAGATAGATAGATAGATAGATAGCATATAATGTGGAATATAATTAAAAATAATAATTTTAAGAATATATAATAATAAAAAATTAGTATAATAATATTATTAAATATAGGTTTAGTTTCCAGGCAATGCCATGTTCCCAACTTACAGTATTGTAATTGATAGTCTACGTTAGATGTATGATACACAATTGTATAGGAATAGATGGCTTAAAGTACCTGAACACTCACAACAAATTCAAATGTTCTAAAATGCGAAAATTACAATTAGTGGCAAGTTTTGTGACAGTTCCTTTGTCCAACAAATAAGTTCATTTTTAATTTGGCACATTTATCAAAATTATTTGTGTAAATAGAAACGTAATGAAATGGAGTTTGAACCTGTAATGCAGGTAATGGTATATCCTGAGATGTTTTGTTCATGAATTGGAGAGTTCCCTCCTGCAAGCATACTCCAACATTGAATGGTGCCATCCTCACAAGATGTATACACTAAGCTTGGTCGAGAAAGAGACCAACATCCTTTTGTCAACCCAAACTAAATTAAACGATTCAATTTTTTTTAAAATATACTGTATCCACGCATTTAGTTTGGTTTTTAATTTATCTATATCAATCATTTATTTAAATGATTTTAAATGCAATGTCTCTTAATGTATTTTTAAATGGCTTAAAATGTGCACCTGATCACTAGACTTTACAATAAGGGGTTGGTTTAACTCAGTTTCTCTCCAGATTATCAAAAGATTTCCTCCCACTGTTAAGATCAAATCAGAGTAATGTGGTGACCTACTTACAGCATTCACAGGACCGTCATGGACAACCTCCACAAAATAGGAAATTAACAATACAAATAATAGATGCCATAAAAAATGTTAATTAAGATCTACCTTATACCATTGCATATTCACAGTTAATTCTCCGGTTTCTGAATTTATTTTGTTAACAGAAACATTAGCACGGAAAACAGCTCCCTATAAAACATATTCAGGATTCTAAAAGAGTTTAAAACATCATCATTAAACGTAAAACATTTTAGCCAACAAGTATCTCATTTCAGGTTTTTTGTAACGGTGATGGCGGAGGTGCGGCCCGGGGGGAGTTATGTTAAAGAACTGCTCTAAAATATTTTCTTAAACATTAAGTAATTTAAATGTACCTGAAGGGTGCCTGCAAGAAGAAATGTCGGAACAGCTGTGATTAAAGGTTGATTCGAACTCTTGTCTTTATTCTTATGATGTTCCATTGACGAATTGCTTACCTGTAGACCAAAAATAAAAAGTATTTATGAATAACATCTTGTTAAAAGATGATTTTTTGGCAAAAAAATAGATTATGTGTCAGATTCTCAGAAGCTAACACTTTGTGCATATTTGTGGTTTGAAAGTATATATATCTTTTACTTTATTTTCAACTATTTTCAGTTATTCTGTGTAGTTTTAGTAATGTTCAAATTATAATCATCTCTGTAACAATGTCTTAATATAACTTAAGTTGTGTGCATCCGAACTACAAAATAGTGTAAAAGAAACGGTTTAATGAAGACAATGAGAAAATAGCATGTATCATACTCATTAATGAAACCTGGATTTTTAAACCAGAATTTCTGATAACATAAATACTACAAATACACTTTTTATTTTATGTATTTTATATAATAAAACATCACGAGACACCATTTTTCTTGTATTTTATAATTATAAATAATAATATACAAGGGAAATGGGATAGATATTGGATAAAAGGGTTTTGGTACTGAGCATTTGGTAACGGCAATAAGGCAATGTGATAATTTGATAACAAAAATTTGTTAAGTACATACAAGTGCCAATTTAATAACGACAATTAAAGAGTTAGTGACATGCAATAAATATATGATATATTCATGTTTCCAAGTCCAGGGCCGTGAAAATGTTGAGGTTGCCCAGGTATATCCTGTAATGTCTAAAGAATTTTCTATTGGTCTGTGTTTATATAATTGTTACCTAAATTGTCAGTTTGATTTTATTGCATTGTTGTTTCCATTATACATACCTTTTCATCTCTGAAAAAAAAACTTTCTTTGCTTGTTTTTCAATCACATTGACCTCAAATTTATTAATGAACTTATTGATTAAATTAAATCTTTAGATTAAATAGTAAATATGTGGCACATTTGTCCCAACAAAAACTTCATTTTAGCCAAACCTGTCCAATAATTTTTGACAAACATGACTAAATTATAAATTTATTACATTTGTTACATGGAAGGCGTGTTTTCTAATAAATTATAGAGGAATATTCCAGCTTAAAGTGCTATATGGATGGAGGGAGGAAACTAGTTTAGGGTAGAGATGATTATAGATGCGGTTGATGAGAGGATCCCCGGATTTTTGTTTTTGTTTGGAAAGGTATGAAACAATAATGAGAGAAAATGGAAGGGAAGGAAGAGAGGGGTCGATGGTGAGGACAGGTTTAATGAGGTTAAATAAAATAATGTTCAGAAAACCCAAGTATACCCAAGTAGCAATATTCTAGTATATCTAAATAATCGTTTATTGCAATTAAAAGTAAGGCAATAACTAAACAAAGTTAAAATTCAAATAAACTAAACTATAGCCATGGCCATATACTGCTACTACAGTCGTTCACAGCTACTGCTGTTACTGATCTAATACTTAACTGCTTCTTACTTTCCTACAAACTTGATCCCATCTTGGTCCGCAAGCAGCAAGTTGATTGGAGTTCTTCCTCCTGTGAGAAGCTTTGTACACAACTGACAATATTCTTTTGTTACCAAGGTGAGTGGATTTAAGATGTCCATCCTGCCAGGAGCTTTGAACACAACTGACCATATGTTACCTCGGTTACTCTGTTTATAAGGAACTGGTACTCCTCTACAGATGTTGCCTCCTACTGAGGCAACATCTGTGTCTTCCCTTCTCAACGGACCTTGTTGCCCCTTTTTAATTCTTTTAAGTCTGCCTTCCCAATTAGGTTCTGTTCCACACAGGGAGAAGGGGCTGTATCACCCTATTGTGTTAGAAAAAACCAATAGTTTACCCAAAATCAGTAATTATTGAATATTCTTGAAAATCTAAAATGAGCATAGTGCAATTATATTTAAAGTACGACAATAACAAAAGAATTAAAAAAAAATAAAACTTAACTAGTTATGTGAATGTATAGTTTTATCCCCCAATAAGGTGAAACAGACCCTTAAGATCTAGTACTGGATCTAATTTTACTGCGAATCTTTCACTCATCATATAGGTCCTCAACTGCAGGTGTATTGCAATCCTTTCATGCACCCAGGGTTCCATTTGGGTCAACAGAAGCTTCAGAACCTTAATCTTAATGAATATACTTGGATCCCTATCCAGGTCTACTGCAATCATGGATTGCCAGTTTGATCCCATCCAGGTCAACTACATAGAGTTAATTTGAGGTCTCTCTTCTGTCATGAGCTTAGTGCACAACTGACTCTCTACTCGCTCCTCTTAACCCTTCTGAGACGCCCTCTGTGTATCCTCCTCTTTGAAGACCTATTCACCCTTTTTAATCCATTTAGTTTTAGTGAGGGGACGAAAATCTCATGTGCGTGTGTCTGTACCAAAAGGGTGTGGTTCTGTTAAGGCTTAAATAAGGAACCAAGTAGTTGTACTGTTGGTATAGTACAGAAGAATTTTGGCATTATACAGTCTAGAAGAGTACATTTGTGTATTGTTAATTGTTTAATTAAAAATAAGTTTAATATACATGTATATATATATATATTATATTGTGAGCATAGCAGTCTCACAGCCTCACTGTATATAGTCGGGATAGGTCTGATTGTAAATAGTTCCATAGATGTAGCCTGCACAGTTCTGATCTAAACCCAGAGCGGATCTTAGATTGTAAATAGTTCTCTTGTTAGAGATAAACACCCAAGCCAAGCCATGGCATCGACCTAGGCTAACAACTAGGCCAACAGTTTTGTATAACCTGGAGGTGGAGAACTCACAACATTTGAACTCGTTATAGAATCAGTATCAACAAGGAACTCAAGCTAAATAGACATCAGAGAACATTATTCGCCATGGAAGGCAGAAAAATCTCTGAAAGATAATCTCTCATTGAGTCATAAGGTGATCCAACCGAGGAACATAGTATCTTTTATTTATTAATATGTTTAGTGTAAATAAAATGTTTTGTGCATTTTGTGTCTTTGTTCAGAATAGTTTAGTGCTCATTCATAAAACAATTCAATTATATATTTAAGTCAACATTATCAGTGATTCAAGCTTAATCATAAGTGAGGACATTGTTCTGCACCTTATATGAATGTAGGTTTTAAATAGCTGAGTTTTTGTGCCACAATAAGGAACCCGTCTGCAAGCATGAGGACTGACTTTCTAATGCCAGATCAGTGCCATTTCCATTCCCTTATTTTTATTCCCTGGTTTTAATTCTTCCTTCCCAGTTGGGTTCTGTTCCAAACAGGGGGGGGGGGGAAGGGAGCTGTATCACCCTCACAATAAGGTAAGGTTTATGTGAAAGGTGACAAGGGGAAGCAGGCTAGGGGTGACAAATTTTAACTTTAATAATTTTTTATTTTAGTTAAATTTTACAATATCTTTAAATTTCTACATGATATCAGATGAAACATTTTGAGACTTCTATAATTCTAATTTTTCATTCTTTCTTCTTGATCGTCCATCATACTTCAGCTAATTTTGAAAATAAAAATTGCAGCTAGCCAAATTTCAAGAAAAGAATTATTGTTCCCAGCCCTGTATCTCAGATCTATTCTTGTTTTGTTTTCTAATTTGCTGGAGGAGCTGGAGTCAGCTGTAACACATTTATCTTGCATAAGCTGCAGTTCTATAACACACTTTCCATTGCGCTTTTCTTGGAGGAGGGAAGGAGGCGTGCTTTACATTTTCCAGTTTTTTATTTTGAGTAGGACATAGAGGGGGGGGGGAAATGGGACGTCTGCCATCCTGTGTCTTTGTCTTCATTTGCTAACATTAAAAAAAATAAATAGTGTTAAGCTCAAATCCCCTTCTAATTTTCCTGTTCAAAGTTTTCTTTTTCTTTCTTGTTTATCTTGTTTTAAGCTCCATCCCTACTCCACTTTTTTTCTGTTGAATTTCTTTTTTCTTCTTGCTTCTTGCTTCTTGTTTTTACACTTTAAGGCCTTTCTAAATAGTTCTTTTGATATCCAAGTTGTGGAAAAGGAGAGAGATTAGGAGATTTTGAAGGAAGAAGGACATAGGGGATTGCTCCCTGTGTTCCTTCATTTTATTCTGTTTCCCTGTTAGGGGAATTAAGGAAAACCCATAACTGATCCCCTTATGCAAAATGGGGAGTTGTGAGCTCTGAAAGCTCTCTTGAGAGGAATCTTCCAGAGCAGTCCATTCCTCACATCTGGTTGAGTAACAAACCGGTATTACTGTGAATGGCTTGTATATTCATGAGGGTCTTTCAGTGCACCAAGCTGAAGATAAATTTTTGTTTTAATCTATGTACAATTCTTGCTTCCCCTGTAAAATACAAGATGCATAACTAAACTAAATGCTTTTCCAGCTGAAATTCTGGGACCACTCTGCTTAAAAGCAGTCAGGCAGCTGGCTTGGGGGACAAATAAAATGAATAGATATCATAGAAAAGGTGATCCTGGTTGTAGGGAAGGGGATGGATAGTAGGTGAAGGGAAGGATGGATGGTAGATTAGGTGAGGAAGTGTGAAGGAGAGGAGGAAGTTGTGTGGGCTGATAATTTAAATTTTTTAAAAAATCAATAAATACTTTTTTGCTTACTTAGATGAAGCATTGCTGACACTGCTTCTCCTTGATGATGCTACACTTCCTCCAGGTTGTAAACTATGCAAATCTACATGTTCAGGTCTGTCTAAAATGGCAAATGCCTAAAAATAAATTGACATGATTTGTAAGCCTAGAAAAAGGTATTAAAATGTAATTGTGAATTTTGATTATGATTGTTGAGTTTAAAATCTGAATGTGTGTCTGTTTGTCACTAATATTTTTTTTTTAAATTTTCTTTTTGAAATCAGTTGGTACAATCCACAGCTCGCTATTTCAATCAAAGTTTTTTATTTAACCCACCAGGGCACAAAATTAAAACATTTTTTGTGAATCTGAAATTACAAAAAAAAACTTTTAAAACATCATCACTTTAATTAAGAATATTTTTAATTTAGAAATGATGTTCTTTAATTTAAAAAAAATTTTGTGGTATGGGCAAGGTTCATACAGAGGTACCCGTAGCTCTTTTTCTTTTTTTTAATGCATATTTTTTTTTTAATTGCTCTAGCTTCAAAAGTGATAATCGCTGATCCAAAATTTTAGTTAAAAATAAAACCTGACAGCTTATGATTTAAAAAAAAACGAAAATCTTAAATTTTTTTCATACTTTATGAATTAATGAAAATGAGATGTGAAAAATTGAAAAATTGAAAGATCCGGGAAATCGATTTGTGACTTGTGCTCAAATAATTGGTTGTAACAAAAGTATGAGGCATAGAAGGAAAAATTTTATATCATGAAATGACTGAAATAACCAGCTTTTGAATGAAACCTTGATCGTAAAAATTAAACGAAAATTGTTTCCTCAGTTACTAATACCCCTACTGCACAGTTTTTTTCTGAGACACCCTGTATTCTTAGCTTGGTTTTAAAATTGAGAGGGTTTAATTTAATAAGGCAATTTTAGCTTCCAGGCAAAGCTATGTTCTAAATCTATATTTACCCTACTAACAAGAAAACCTAAAAATACTAAAGCCTTTATATAAATATACATACTTTTAGGTATATTTATGGAAAAATTCGTATGCTCAACTTTTTGGTAAAGAACTTGCGTATAAATACGGTATTTTTACGGATTAAGCATGCCAGAATTCCAGTTTTCCAGAATCGTATTTTCACGCATAATTACGTATACTTTTTACCAAGTAATTTTTTAGTAGTTTTTAGGTTTTTATCTTACAAATTTTTACGTATTTTTCGGTTTGTTCTTTGCTTTAAAAATTGTATTTTTAGAGTTGAAAAGTTTGATGCAAACCAAAAATTATGAATATTTTTGTAAATTTCATGCCAACTAAATTTAAAGTGTCAATATATTCATGAAACCTCAACTGCAAAAAAATAATTTTTAAGCTAGAATTTAAAAATATTTTATGATTTTTAAAGAGAATTTTTATGTAAGAAATAAAATGCAAACATTTTGGTAAACACAATATTTCAAAATTTCTATCATTTGGAGTAAATTGATGTTTTCATTAGAATCAATGTCAGTAAATTCTCGATTTTTTGATAAAAGAAGTTCTACTTTGACAGGTATAATTGTAAGTATGACAAATATTGAATATGTAATTGTTGAAGATATAGACTAAATGCATGTATGAAATTTAGGGCTGGGCAAAGTTCCGTTAGGAAACGGAGGATTTCAAAAATTACTGAGGAAAAGTCCGTTTAAAAATCATTAAAGAAACAGATTACCCGTTTTTGAAAAAAAAATCAACGGTCAAAAACGTTAACTGAAAAGCTTATAACGGTAAATTTTGTTATTTTACGCGTTTTGATGTTTTAAATGTTGTCTTCTGTGTTTAAAAACATTACCGAAATTTTTTTGCTGTTAACACCGTTTTTAACCTTTGGTTTTTAACATTTTGGGTTTTTCGTGTGGAATTCCAAAAATTAAGAAATGTTAGGATTTTTTCACATCCAAATGAACTTATAGAAAAAAACTAAAAATTCCTAATTCATTGGATTTTTTAAGGTTTTTTACATACTCATTTTTACGTTTGTGAAATACATATTTTTATGTTTGTGAAATACGTATTTTTACGGATGTAAAATACGTATTTTTACGGATGTAAAATACGTATTTTTATCAAGGAAATGGTTACAAAATTATGTATTTCATTTGTATCGAAAATACATATTTTTACGTATTCCTAACCTAAACATATGTATACGTATACATATCTATAGGTTTTCCGGTTAGTAGGGTATATATACAGCTGTCATCACTGTTTGTTTGTTTGTATGTCCAATTGTAAGTCAGGAACCTCTAGACCGATTTGCCACGAATTTATTCATGAATTTATATGTGTGGAATAAGGCGTTTTAACCATTTTCTCCTTATATGTATACTCAACCGATAGAATTAAAATTTTAATCTAAAGTTAGCTTTGCTTTTGTAAAATTATAAAGTCACTTGTTATTCAACGAGCAAAAAAAGTTAATATAAAAATTATACCTGGAGACACATTGGATGAAACCTTTCTTCAACGCTGTCTGGTTTTAAAAATCCCAATTTATATATTGGTTTCCATTTTAACTCTAGGTGCGTGTAGCGTCCGATCACTTGCTTATACTTAGAAGACTCAGACTAAAATTATAAAGTAAATTAAATTGTTTAGATTCTAAACAAAAGGATTTTTTCATTGTTAGTATGAATTTTGAAGTAACAATAAAGTTTTATCCTGATAATAAAAATGAGTAAATGACAGATTCGTCAGAATTTCATACTTACATTTATATTTTTCTTTTATCAAGAAAAAAGTATTTAAAGGCTAGTAGAAATCAATTATTTCAACAATAAAATCATAGGACTGGATTTAAAGAATTTAATCCAGGTGTTCCCCAAGAGTTTTTGAACAACCTAACCGGAGGTTTACAACTTTTGAATAGGGCATGGCAGCTGAAACTTAGTTTAGTTCAAGATTAGAACTTTTCTGGGAGTTATTCTAAATTTAGATTTAAATACTGAAATATTCTGGATAAAAACCAATCATGCATTTCATTAGGAATAGTTTTTGTAAAAGCTAAAGTTAAAACAGATAAACTTTAAAATCATATAGATTAGATTTTAATTTAATATTTTATCAACTAATTTATTAAACAATATTATCTCTAGGTTCATAGTATACAGAGGGTAAAACTATTTATCCAAATTCAGCTTACATGAGCAATCTATTCTAATGTATCTAATGTTCTTGAAATATTTCTCTACCTTAAAACTTTCTCTGCGGTCCTTCACGCTTCTATTTAGAGTTGAAGAGTTAAATGAGGTTTCAGCACTTTCAACGGGCTTTACAAAAATAAAGAAAATTTAGAAAACTTCCAAAATTTCATGATGCAGTCTTTAAAAAATATTTATTGTTTATTTTTATGCACCAACCTTGATGTCAATCTGCCAAACTAGAATATAGTTTTCACGTGCACAGCTCATAAGTTGCTGGGGATAATTTCCCATACCTTAAATAATCAACATAAATTATCTAGTGTCTAGTTTTTTTTTACATTTTTGTACGTAATATAAAACTGCATTATATAAATCTTTTCCGTGCCATTTCTATTTATTCTAAAAAAAAGAAAATGAAGAAATAAGGTTTAATGGGAGTATTAAAATAAAAATTGAGTGTTCACAAACCCAGCAAATAATGCATATTGATGCAAAAGATAAATAACTTGTTTCATATTTTAATGTACAGAGTGTCCCAAAAAACATAGGAATTCAGAGAAGAATTCGATATCTTTGTTATTAATTAGCATTGTAATACCTAATTTCAAAAGAGTTTATTTTATGAAAAGGGTAAAAGACTGTATATATGTGTCTATGTCTCTGCAAGATGAACAGTGAAGACGAACAAGTTTACTATGTTTGTATACTGTACTTTTCTTGTTTTTAAACAAACAAAATGTGAACATATCAGACGAAACTCTTACAGATTACAGCCTTCTCAGTAGGTGTCACTATACTGATTTTTATTTTAAATTGAATAAGTACTTTAACATGTTATTTCTGTACCGAACTGTTAATCATATTAAAAGGAAGAATGGGGAAATTGATCAACCGTCTCAACTTTTGGACCCATGAAAATGTCGTCTTCAGTTAGAACTTTCATAATTAAAAATCAAAATTTTTTGTATGTTAATATGTATTTTATATGTAAATACATATTGTCGCTTAATCATTTCATTGATTTTGCCTGGCATTTCTAATTCAATAAGAATAGGAATAAAGGGAAAGGAAATTGAGCTGGTCTGGCATGAGAAAGCCAGTAGCACTGCTTTGCAGACAACTAAGGTAAACCTTACACACACTCTTTTGGTACAGACACACAACATGACTACAGTCAAGGAAATTGCAGAACAATGTCGTCAATTATAATTAAGCTTGAATAACGACTAGTTTATTGTAAACTTTAATCAAATTATATTCTTTGCATGAAAATTTGGCTTATAGTGTTGACTTAAATTTATAAATAATATACTACATGTATATTAAACTTACTTTTAAGTAAACAATTAACAATAAACAAATGTACTCTCCTAGACTGTACAAATACCGAGATTCGTATGTTCTGTATATACCTACACACCTTCTGTTCGGTAAACTTTACACACACTCTTTTGGTACAGACACACACACAAAACGTTTCCGCCTCCTGGAATTTATCTTTACAACTCCTTAGTTTTGTTCTTTCAAATCTCACTCCATGCCGAAATATGTTTGTAAATTTCTTAAACACATCTATGTTATTATCCAGAGGCGTATTCAGGGGTGGCTACGGGGGCTCATTACCTTCCTGGATCAGTGAAATATATGCTTTTGGTGGGGTTTCGGCTTATGAATACGCCTCTCTTAATATCTTCAAAACTATGTCTATAAGTTCTCAAACACTTTTAAATCTGTCAAAATACAAAATTGAAGACCAAGAGATATATTTCGAAGATCTTCATTTTTCGGTTTCACAAATTGTTCATTCCTTGTTTAACAGATTATGCATACAGGCATTATTGTGCTGTCTGAAATTATTTATTGTGCAGTAAAATGGCTAAAATTCACTTCTGAAATCTTAATTTACATTAATATATATTTAAGTTAAATACAAATTCTAAGTCTGTTTTTGTAAACAAAGGGAGTCCAGTTTCTGTTGCATAAATCCAATAAACGTCAAAACGGCTGAACCGATCGGGCCCAAATTTTTTGTGGGACATCTAGGGACCCCAGGGAAGGTTTATGAATGATCAAATTTTCAAATATTTGTCTCCATCAAAATTCGGACTTCAATAAATTTTTGAAAATTTTGAAAATCCACGAAGTTTTTTGTGAAAATCCGAGAATTATTTTTGTTTTGTTTTATGATGTACACAAAGAGAACATGTTCACAATTAATTTAGAAGATGGCCGCGAAGCGCCCTCTAAGGCTAGTACTCAATATTTCTCAATCAACCTTCAAGACGGATATTTCATGTAAAATCTCAACTTGAAAGGATCTAAATGCATTATTAAATACCTGAGGACTCTTTAGGAAAAGAACTTTCTTGGTCATATCTTATCGAATTTGGAACCCACTGAATATCCATAACTTCTTCCAAATGGCCCTGATCTAAATTTCAAAAATTAATCCATTCATTTAGTTTTAAAACTCTAAATCTAAATTTAAAATATAATGATTATATAAAGAAAATAAAAATGTTAACAAATTAAAAAAAGGATTTCTGATTTCTTTAAAACTGAAAAAAAACTCAAATACTGTTGACAAATGTTTTTTTATGAAAATATTTGTGAGGTTTTTGACTTTTTTTCCTCAACAAAAAATATTTGGCAATTTAAGAATTATCATGCATTGAATTTTGGTTTGAAGAAACTTACAGCATTTAAACTGAAATTTGGGGTAAAATTCATAGCAAATTAAATTCTTTAAAAGGGGAAAGGCCATTTGACACTTTGTGACGTCAAGTTTTGTACAGGCTGCGTTTGGTCCTAATAATTGAGATAGAAGGCTGGAATTTTGCATGCATCCTCTAACTGTGGTTATCTACAAAGATCACCTCCATTTTGACCTCCATAAATAAGAAAATGCAGGAAAATACCACTTTTTCCTTCTCTAATTTATTTATTTTAAGTTCATCAGACATGTTTTCATATTTTTTGCTGCCACATAAGTCATGTGCTGATATAGACCCATATATTCGACCTATATTTTGACCTCCCTTCGATAATGACCTCCAAAAATGGTCAGAAAATAAAATTAATAAAAATAAGTCATATGGTATCAAACCATAGGATTTTTGGTGTTCCGATTCCATTCTGATACCCTTTTTTGACCTCCAATGATTCTGAAGGCATTTTACCTCAAGATATCAATGACCTCCGATACTCCTTAATGACCTCAGATGATTCTGAAGGAATTTTACCTCCAGACATCAATGACCTCTGGAGATCAAAATATAAAATCAATGATAATAATTCATATGAGGTATCGAGTCATAGGTTTTTAGTATTCCAATTCCATGCTGATACCCTTTTAAGAACTCGGATATTTCTTAAGGTCAATGATGATTTCCAGAGGTCTACGGATGAAATCAATGAAAATGGGGCCAATCCTTGTAACTTTTTCAAATGGATTCATTCTACGTTTTCTGTATTCTATATCAATAAATTAATTCATAGTTTACAATTTACAAGTCATTATCATTAAACTAATATACTACATAAGCCTATCTCCTTAAAAACCCCATATAATGTCGTCTTTACCAGTCCCAAATTTAAACCGAAAAATTTCTCCGACTCGAACTCTCTTCCACGACAAAGGAAAATTGAAACAGTTAAATGTTTACTAGTGAAAATCAAATCCAATGATAACTTTGCAATCCTTCGTAAATTCCTCTTGAACAACCGGATTTATATTTTCAGAAGTATTATCAAATGGTTAAAACTATTCCATCAAACCCTCTGACTCTTAATCACTCCTTTATCACGCTGACAAGATTAAATAGTAAGTTATATTGTTAATCATTCAGTAACATTTATATATTGGTATTTATTTTACTATACCTGCATTTTCTTGCAGGTTTGAAATATATCAGTTAACAAGATTATTTGCAACTTGTGTCAGAGTAAAGGAGCCCAACCAACAATCCTATTGATCAAAGAACCAATGGACCAACTGACTAACCTACCAATTGAATAACCGGCCAACTTAACATATTATTGTTGACGCCCACCTACGTTTCAACATTTTAAACAACATGATCTGAAACATCTAAGATGGATGTCGTTAAATCCATCCAACAGGATTATATCCATGGAGTAATCGAACCTACCAACACTGAGACCCCTCCCCAGGAACCTCAGAAAACATGCACCAGAAATTCACCCTGCCTACTACAGGGATCTACAATCTGTGGCACACTGATCTACCACATCCGCAACCGGATGTAACCCTAAACAACAGCAATACCACACCAACCACTCCACTCACCGTTGTCCTTCCTCAACCACCTTTTCTCTGAAATTTACACCAAAATTTCCCACCAAACCAGGAGCAGGAGAACCAAGAGAATCAGGAGCAGGAGAATCAGAAAAACCAGAAGAACCAAGAGCAAGAGAATCAGGAGCAGCAGAACCAAGAGAATCCGGAGAATCAGGAGAATTAGCTAAATCAGGAGCAGGAGAATCAGGAGAATTAGGAGGAACAGGAGAAGCAGGAGCAGAAGAATCAGGAGAATCTGAAGAAGCAGGAGAATCAGGAGCTGGAGAATCAAGAGAATCAGGAGCATGAAAATCAGAAGAATCAGGAGCAGGAGAATCAGGAGGTTCAGGAGCAGGAGAATCAGAAGGTTAAGGATCAGGAGATTCAGGAGAATCAGGAGCAGGAAAATCAGGAGAATCCGGATCAGGAGAAGCAGGAGAACTAAAAGAACCAAGAGAACCTGGAAAACAGGGAGAAATAAGACCACCAGATCCTTCAACCGAACCAGGCCCTTCAACCAAGCCTGATCCATCAGCTGACCCAGATCCTTCTACCAAACCAGTTCAACATCAATCTAGAGAGGGTAAATTGTCCTTTTCAAGAATAAACCAATATATTGCCCTCTTCTAGAATAAACCCATATAGTGATTACAGACATAAAATCTCAGCTGCCAACATTCAAGACCTTCTCCGTTGAAAAAAAGAGACATATTTGGGGCTAATTCTATCAAGTTTATTTCTAACACTTTTTTTCATTTTTATAAACATTTCAGTTCAATCTGAGTTAAATTTGTATGTTTAAAAATAGAAAAACAAGCGATTCTATGACAATCTGAGAAATCCTCCCCCCTTCCTTGCTCCTTAAAATTTCAGGAGCGGTTTTATCATTTTAAAATATTAAAAACCTGGAATGTTTGTTAAACCTGCCTATTGCACTCTGAGCACTCCAATGAAGAACGGGGATAAATCCCTTGTCCTCGTTCCACTCAGTGAAAACATCTCCTGAAAACCAAAATATCCTCAAAACTATTTTTAAGAAATTTAAATGTCATTTTAAACACCCCCCCCCCCCC